CCAAACCAAATTTCGATATCATAGTACTTCTTAACTAAAAGATATCGGCATTTTTAGAAGTCATGATTTTCGAAGAAAAAAATTGAAATTAATTTTTATTTCGAAAACGGTAACAGATAGGTATAGGGAAATATCAAGAAAAGTTGTCGGGCAATTGTTGGAGATTCCAAAAATAATATTATATACAGAGTGTTCCATTTGAAAAATCAAAGTTGCTACTGCTTTCTAATAGAAGCGGCAACACCGCATTGTCGAAAATATTTTAGTTGGCTAGAGAATGTCCGAATATGCCCTCCATTGAATTTTCAAAGTGATCCGTTGTCTGGTTCACCAGAAACGTCTAATGTGCCATCCACCGTGAATCAGCCTGTATACAAAATCAAAATAAGTAGATGTCACTACCTAGTCCCGGGAGTCAGAGAGTCATATTTGAAAACAATCGATTAACTGCGCTGTAGGTACGTATCATGTTCAATTTTGGAGTTTCGGTATCCACTGTACCATTCGAACTGGGTGGTTCAATATCGCCCTAACTGAGCGGAACTGTATGTTTCATGGACTTTCTTGTAGTTGAAATAGTAGTTAGGCCAAGAAAGATGAAAAATTCCTTGAGAAAATGATAACCGCTTCCTTCAACTCTCTTTAACCCTCAATTTCGACATTTCTCTAGGTATTTGGTTCACACAGAATTACTTGAACCACTCAGTGCCATTGTTTTTCGAATTTGAAAACCGTGGATTTTTGGAATTTCTTCCTGACGTTTCGCTGGCGCAAGTGGCTAGCTTCTTCAGAGACATGCATGGCTTGCTGTCCGATGACTACCTTTTAGGCTTCGTAAACCGTATTTATGCCTTGTCAGGTAATCAGTTTTATTTGTACCTGCACTTGTCCCTGCACTTGTACCTGTACTTGAACCTGGAACATTAACAATCTTGCTGCTCGTTGTAATTCTGTTCGTTGTTCTCGAATTCCTTAAAATGGGGTTCCATATTTGATTGAGGTTCACCGCTTCTTTTTTTCTGTTGAAATTCTCCGTGTGTTTGTGGATCTCTATTGCCTCCCGTACCAGTCGGCTATGGTATCCCTGGTTGGGGGCAATTAGTTCTCTGTTCTCAAACAAAATTCTCAGGTCTCCTTCACTCAGTGCGTGTTCTGCCACAGCTGACTTATCTGTTTGGCCTAGTCTGCAGTTCCTTTTCAGGAAGAAATTCCAAAAATACGAAAAGCAATGACACTGAAAACTTGTACTTTGTACTTGAACTACTGTTAAATATGTCCAACTTCTGTATTCTTCTTCAAGTGAGTAATTTTTCTCATAGTGAAATTGCGTTAATATTTCAGGAATTGGAAGAAACAGGTAGAAAATGCAAAAATTAACCCGAAGAAAAAACCCAGTCTTTTCAGAGCTATTCTCAAAACGTTCTGGTTTGAAATAGCTATGTTAGGAATTCTCCTGGGAATAGCAGATCTCATACTGAAACCAACCAGTCCGTTGATGCTGGGAAAAATGTTAGAATTTTATAGTCCAAATACGAAAACAACTAAGGAAGAAGCTTTATTTTATGCTGGTGGTATAGTATTTTTGAATATTTCCTCAACAGTGATTTTTACCCAATACATGATGAATGCAATTCATACCGGAATGAGAGTGAGAGCTGCTGTTATTGTGTTGATTTATCGAAAAGTAAGTAGAAAACTTTTGAGATTCGAGATAGATATCTCACAAAGTAGTAAAATTCACTATTCAATATTATTTTTATAAATTTCATCGTTATACATATACTCAAGAGTACTTTTCTAAAAACCTGTAACTGGTTAATATGAAAAAAAGTCACCAGCTTCCTCATATCATATTCAACTGACTCACAAGTATTCTCAATCAACTCAATTAGGTTATGATGTGACGCAAGAAAAAATTACGATTTGCAAAATTTACGATTTTCTGGAGCTCACTGCAACGGGGCTTTGAGTATGAGCTGAAATGCGTGTAGAAAGATATTCAGAAGCAACATTCATAAGAACTGTATTTCAGTACTTTACAAGATATACTAATTCAGCAAGCTGAGTATTGTTGATAAGGAATGACAAAAATTTGCATCTAGATTGAATATTGAGAGTATAAAGTATAGAGTATCGTATATGGTTATTTCAAAAACTACACCTCATGATTTAATCCCCACAAACTTTATTTGAAAAATAGATCACATGTTTCGCTAGCACAGTAGCTTTCTCAAGTGATTTAAATCAGGTGATTTGAATCAATTTGAACGAACCAACGGCATC